ATGTATGTATGTATGTATATATGTATGTATATATGTATGTATGTATGTATGTATATTGCTAAATAACTAAAAAATATTTTAACCTTTCCTTTAAACTTTTAAAAAATACAGATTAATGTTTAATCTTTACATTAATATACGCTGAATGATGATATAGTTTTACCCATTTTCTTTTCATATTAAAACATTTTGTCAACTTCATTTTACAGATTCATTCGATTTTTTAAAGTTATAAAATTCGAAACATTAAAGCCGACACTTTACATGCATTTAAAATGCCTTGTATATATGCAAAATTCTAATTTAACTGGATACATTTAATTAATTTGAAGCAAACATCAAAATAGCATGTCAAATAGTATCTAAAACAAATATCCAGATAATATGTAGTGAAAGTCTAACACTGTGGAATGTCTTTTACATTCTCAAGCCAGGTTTCATGTGACTGGGATTAGTGAAACTGATCCAGAGCCTGATAACTCCTGAAGACCCTCCTCTGAGAGACACTCCACTGGACCCCACAGCTTTTGCTATATTATTGTTGAGACGTGAGAACTTAATGAGAATCTCAAGTAAAAATGTCAACAACAAAAAAGCAACCCACTGTTTATACTGTTTACCCAATATATAATCGTGTTTATATATTTAATTTATATTTCTCTTTCATTTTTGTCCTGAAATATGAGCCGGACATGAAGGAGGGGACTTCTGCTCACTTCCAGGAATCATGTGGGATTCCCAGACTGAGTATCCTGGCCTTGTTGACTCATTTTTTGTGTGTCTGTTCTAATGATGAACTGCTGAGAGAGTGGGAGGAGCCACACCTGCTTAGGTGCAAAGCAGCTCTCCTCCCATTGGCCGAGAGCTGTCACTATATTTCCTCACTCACAAACAATGTGAGAGTGAGCGGAGCGTTCAGAGCATTAACAGGACAGGGAAGCACACAAGAACATCCACTTGAAAGACTGTAGGAGGGGGCTTGATCGACTGCAAACTAAAGAGTATGTATGTTTGAATTTGGGTTTTGTATTTTGTATGGGTTTATATTGTTAACATGAACACAAGCTTGTCAGGTTTGAGGGCATGCTACGTGGTTTTGTTTGATTTGAGCTGCTCCTCACTTTTAGCTTTTTAATGGATTTACCAGCCATATGCTTCTTTACAAGTTTAAAAAGAGTTAGTATTTTTGTTTATTGAAGGAGTTTGATTTCTTTTGAACAAATGCAATGGGATACAGCTAAATTCAACCATGCACTGTTAAAAATGCTGGGTTCTACACAATCCTACGAACCGATTAAGTTAATATATTACTTTTTTTTTAACAACTATAAATGGATGGAACATAAAACAATTAAGTTGTCCCCAAAAAAAAATCTTAAAACTGTGTTGTTTCAACTGATTTCATTCACTTTTGAGTGTGTATTGCATCCAAAAACGCAATACTTTGGATTATTTTGAAGTGGGATACATTTTGTGAAAGTTGTAATATGTTGCATGAAGCTAAAAATGTTGTTTAGTGATCATATAACTGAGTTAAGTCGCATATATTTCTGCTTTATTAGGTTATTGTGCTTTCCAGGTCAGGAGAAGATGTCAGTTTACACTGTAAAAGTATATATGATCAATTAGTCATGACATCATATGTTTTTAGTTCATTGTAAGTTATTAAACTACGTTAATCATGTTCTAACTTAATTTTATAAGTTAGGTAAGCTGTTTTAAGTCAGTTTAACATAATACAAGTTCAATATATTTATAAGCTTAATTTGATACAGCTTAAAAATGAAAGGCAACCAGGATTTTTATACATACAGTGTATAGTGAAAAGTATTTTAATTTGTGAGATTTTAATATATTTTTTAAAGAATACAGCAATGATTGTTGAAGTGTTAAAAATTCATGTGGGAATCTTTCTGATGATAAGATTAAAAGTGCATTGGAATGATGAATCAAGTTGCTGGGAATAAAGCCTGAGAGGCTTGTCTAAGCTTGCTGAAGTGTTGATATGAACCGACTGTGATGTTTCTGCTTCACTTAATTCATATCAATGTTCTCCTGTCATTTAAACACTAGCACGTAGCATACGCTGAGTCCATGAGGCTAATCTTTGAGTGAATCAGTAATGTTGGAAAGCCCTCTTTTAATTAGTTGGCTTTTAGGAAGTGCTGATTTATGTCTCATGATGAGAGAGAGTGTATCATCCACTGAGTCACATCCTAATGTCTCGAAACTTTGGAGTAGACATAAAAAATCTCCCAATGTAGTAAAGCTTAGTAAAGTTCATTTTTGAAGATCTTTGATTTTGGTATTTTTAAAAATGCAACTTTTCATCTCTTGCTAGGCTAGTTTTGCCGCTGTGAGTCTGTTTCTGGATTTATGTAAGTGTAAAGCATGAGTAATCTGAAGTAATGAGTCAGTTGCTGTATCAGCAGGTTTAGCCATGAGTCTTGAATGCTTTGAACGTATGATGCAAAATAAAGCCCTCTTGAAGATGTAAGAT